CAGGGGCTGCTCCGCGGGGCAGCGCCCGACCAAGGGAAACCCTGTGTTTGCACCTTCTCGGCTCAGGCTCTTGCCCTGCTTTCTCCATGCCACCTCCCCCAGGTCAACACCGAGCGAGTGGAGGTGGAATCCCGCGGTGTCAACCACGTGGAGGGCGGCTGGCCCAAAGACATCAACCCGCAGGAGATGGAACAGACCGTCCGCTTCAGGAAGAAAGTGGAGAAAGACGAGAACTACATCAACACCATCACACACCTCGGCACTGTAAGGCTCTGCCTGACCCCCCTCCTCCGTGTATCCCACTGCCAGAGCCCCCTTCCTGCCCGCTGCCGGCTCCATGGCCTAGGCAGCTCCCTGAAGGCATGGCCTGTGCTTTCCCTGCAGCTGATGGAGCACTGCGTCAAGCAGAACAACGCCATCAACATCTACGAGGAGTACTTCGGAGAGGAGGAGATGGCAGAGCTGGATGACGAGCCCCCCTCCGCCAAAACCATCAATGTCATCAGGTAGCTGGGCTCTCCAGATCTGCAGCAGGCATTAAATTGCCTTTGGATGCTATGGATGTGGAAAATCCAGCGGCTTTAGGGTAGTGCTGGATCAGTTTATGGATGGAGAGGCCTGCTGCAGCCCCCCTGCTCCGTAACTCTATCCGTTCCTCCTCTCCCTGCCCAGAAACTTCAGAGATAGGTACCATAGAACCATAGAATGGTTTGGGTTGGAAGGGACCTTAAAGATCATCTAGTTCCACCCCCCCTGCCATGGGCAGGGACACCTTCCATAGGTTGCTCCAAGCCTCATCCAGCCTGGCCTTGGACACTCCCAGGGATGGGGCATCCACAGCTTCTCTGGGCAACCTGTCCCAGTGCTCCCCACCCTCTGCGGGAAGAACTTCATCCTGATATCTAATCTAAACCTCCCCACTTCCAGTTTAAATCCGTTACCCCTTGTCCTGTCACTCCCTGCCCTGGGAAAAGCCCTCCTCAGCTTCCTTGGTCCAAGGACAGATGCAGCTCTGAGCATCTTCTAACAGTCCTTAGACAGGATGTTTTTTTGGTGCCTCAGAGATTATTTCCAAATGTCAGGGGCTTTAGGTCATTTCTAGAAGTCAGATCCCGTAACATAATTGGATTCTTAGAAACGTATAACTGGAAACACTTTATTAAATCATCAACTCTTCTCCCCCTGCCCAACCCCCAAGAGAATTGTTTCCCGCTCTCAGTGCTCCAGGGCTGCAGCTTGTTTTAATTGTGATTCCCAGAGTTTCCTTTGGGAGACAGCTCTCCCAGGGCACGACCAAGCTGTTAGCAAACTAACAGCTTGCTTTGATGTCCTGTTATGAAAAAGGGATCCAAACCTAACCAAGAGGACGGCCACGCATCTCTCCTGGCACCCTGACACGTACAAGAAGCTGGCAGTGGCTTATTCCAGCCTGGAATTCCAGCAAAACATGAAAGACATGAGCTTTGACTCGTACATCTGGGATCTCGGTAAGGGGCAAGGGAAAACCCAGCAGTCAGTAATGCAGCCGCTGCGGAAGCACTTTGTGTCTTCAAAGCGTGTAACGAGGCCGCGCAGCGCTCCGGAAGGGGTGAGCGGGGGCTCAGGTTCTGCTCTGCCCACAGATCAATGCAGAGAAGGGGAGAAATGGGTCTTGAAAGCTGGAAAATATCCGCTAAAATCCCACTACGTGAGCTCGAGTGCCTGTGGGCACAACAGGCAGCTGAGCCGGGCTCCTCTTGGGTGGTTCTTGTCTTTATGCCGTTCATTTGTGCTGGATTTAGGAAAAGGCAGCACAAGCCCAGGCGGAGAACTGCCCTGCTCTGTCAGACTCTCAGACCTGTTGTATTTTGGGGTGGAAAACACCAAGAAGAGGGGTCAGGGTACCGGGGATTGGGGTACCAGGAGTCTGTCCCCAGGCTGGCGGGCGAGGACGGGTCAGATCCCTTCCCGGGCGAAGGGGATGTGGCAGGTCACCATCTCCACTTCCAGCACGGCTGGGCAAGAACCAGCGTGGCAGGGAGCCGGGCGTGATATCGGGGGGGCTGTCGTAGGGGCTGGGGTCTGCACTGCCTGTGCACTTTGTTCTTTACTCGCCCCTCCTTGGCAGAAAACCCCAACAAGCCGGAGCTCGTTCTCAAGCCGACATCCCCCCTGGTGAGCCTGGAATACAACCCCAAAGATTCGCACGTCCTGCTGGGAGGATGCTACAATGGGCAGATGGGTAAGGAAGATGGGTCAGGATCATGGAATTGTTTAGCCTGGAAAAGAGCTTTAAGGTCACCGAGTCCAACCACCAAACCCACTGCCCCGTGTCCCTGAGCACCTTGTCCACGCGGCTCTCAAACCCCTCCCGGGATGGTGACTCCACCACCTCCCTGGGCAGCCCCTTCCAATCCTGACAGCCCTTTCCAGGAAGGAATTTCCCTAATATCCAACCTAAACCTCCCCTGGCAGAATTTGAGGCCTGGCAGGGATTGCTGGATGCAACAGCTGAGCAGCATGCGTGCTGGGCTCCTGCCTCATCCATGACCCTGGAATTTTGCACGGCAAAATCCCAGGAGAGCTGCCATCGCTTCTAGCGCTGAATTGTTCTTGTCCCGTTGTTTCAAGTGCTTGGAAAAGGGCCCCGTTCGCCGGCCTCGTTTACGGCTCGGTTACTC